ATCCTTCTCTCTCTCTGTCTCTCTCTTTTTGAGTCAGAGTCTCTCTCTGTCACCCGGGCTGGAGCACAGTGACACCATCACGACTAGCGCAGCCTCGACTTCCTGGGCTCAAGTGATCCTTCCACCTCAGCCTCCCAAGTAGATGGCACATGTACAAACACGTGCCACCACACCTGGCTAACTTTTTGATTTTTTTTTTTTTGTAGAGACGAGGTTTCACTGTTGCCCAGGCTGGCCTAGAACTTCTGGTCTCAAGCAGTCCTCTGGCCTTGGCCTCCCAAAGTTTTGGGATTACAGGTGTGAGCCACCATGCCAGCCTGTAGTGTCTTTTGATGCTGTCAAATGTATCAACTTTTCCTTTATGGCTTTTGCCTGTTGTGTCTTTTTTTTTTTTTTTTTGAGTTGGAGTCTCACTCTGTCGCCCAGACTGGAGTGCAGTGGCCGCTCCCGGCCACCGCAGCCTCGACCTGCTGGGCTCTGGTGATCCTTCCACCTCAGCCTTCCAGGTAGCCGGAATTACAGGCATGCGCTACCACGCCCGGCTGATTTTTTGATTTATTGTAGAGATGAGGTCTCGCTGCCCAGGCGGGTCTCGAACCCGCAAGCTCAGGCAATCCACTCACCTCAGCCTCCCAAAGGTGTGGGATTACAGGCTGAGCCACCGAGCCCGGCTGTTGTGTCTTTTAAAAGACATTTTTTCCTATCCCCAGTGAGATCAAGTTATCTTTCCTGTATTTTAAAACAGGATTTGTAGTTTAACATTTTGCTTATCTTTTTTTTTTTAATTGAATCGAGGTCTCACTCTGTAGCCCAGGTTGGAGTGCAGTGGCATGATCATGGCTCACTACAGCTTTGACCTGCTGGGCTCAGGTGATCCTCCTGCCTCAGCCTCCGGAGTAGCTGGGACTACAGGCATGCGCCATCATGCCCAGATAGTTTATTATTTTTATTTTTATATTATATTATTTTATTTTTTGAGTCAGTCTTACTATGTTGCCCAGGCTGGAGTGCAATGTCATGCTAAGGGCCACCGCAGCCTCAACCTACTGGGCTCAGGTGATCCTTCCGCCTCAGCCTTCCAAGCAGCTGGAACCACAGTCATGTGTCACCATGCCCGGCTGATTTTTTTGGTTATAGAGACGAGGTCTCACCTTGTTCCTCAGGCTGGTCTCAAACCCCTGAGCTTAGGCAATCCTCTTGCCTCCACCTCCCAAAATGCTAGAATTATAGACCTGAGTCACTGCCCAGCACCAGTTTATTTTTTACTGCATTTTTTTAGAGACGAGGTTTTGCTATGTTGCCCTGGCTGGTCTTGAGCCCCTGGGCTTATGCAATCCTCTCACCTCAGCTTCCCAAAGTGCTGGGATTATAGACATGAGCCACTGCACTCGGTCTGCTTTTCATACTTGTATCTTTATTTCATCTGGAATTTATTTTGTGAATGCTTTGAGATATGGTTTAATTTTATTTTTCTTCCAGATGGAGAGTTGTCCTAAAACCACTTATAAGATGCACTTGCTTTCCAATAATGTGCAATTTCTCTGTGTCACGCAAGTGACCATACTTTATACTTCTTTATTTTTTAGGAGATGGGGTCTCTCTGTGTTGCCCAGGCTGGAGTGCGGTGGTCATTCACAGGCGAAGTCCCAGTACTGATGAGCACGGGTGTTTTGACTTCCTCCACTTGTGACTTGGGCCATTTCATCCCTCCTTCAGGTAGCTTGATGGTTCCTTGCTTCTGGGAGGTCACCATGTTAACATTGAACTTAGTGCAGACACCTGACTCCTGTGCTCAAGCAATTTTCCTGCCTCGGCCTCCTGGAGTGTTGGAATCACAATACAGTCATGAGCCATCGCGCCCGGCTGTATCTTCTTTTACATGTGTTACTTAGGATGTAGCTTCCGTTACTTCGTTAGAGACTTAAACAGTGGCCTTCACAAGACAGAAGTGAAAAAAATGTGCAAAGCTCCTGTCCTGCTCATTTCTATCACGGCAGAAGGAGGTGAACTAACAAGGCAATACATCCAGGAGCAGAAGGAAGTGCGATTTGGTGACTGAAACGCAGGTGGGAAGGATACCTGGGAGTTGCTGGAGAAGCTGCAGGGGCCGAAAGCAGAGTGAAGAAGGTTCCAGAAAGAGAAAGGAACCTGAACAGCACATCTGACAGCAGGTGCACGGACACACAGCGAGGGTGGGCAGAGACGAGGCTGGAGAGACTGCGGGGGTCTCAGGATGACAGGGGGCACCATGTCGGCTTTGTTTTATTGGCAATAGAATGCCACAGACACTTTTTTTTTTGAGTTGGTGTCTCACTCTGTTGCCCAGGCCGGAGGGCAGTGGCATGCTCACGGCCACCACGGCCTCGACCTGCTAATTTTTGACTTATTGTAGAGATGAGGTCTCGCCAAGTTGCCCAGGCTGGTCTCAAGCCCCTGGGGCCAGACAATCCTCTTGCCTTGGTCTCCCAAAATGCTGGGATTCCAGGCTTAACCACTGTGCCCGGCCCACAGATGCTTTTGATCAGAATTGCGGCCCAACAGGATTTCTGTTGTAGGAGTTGGTGATGGATTATTACTGTTTCGTTGCACTTTTCCTTCAGAGAACTTACAATTTTGGATTTAAAGGTTATTGAAATGGGAAACGATTCATTTGCACCAGTGAAACTGAAGCAGAGCCGAGGGTTGTGAAGCGGGACACACGTGGTTGTGGTCGTGCCCTTGGGAGACAAGACCTGCAGCTCGGAAGAAGTGATGGGGGATGGGGAGAGGCCACGTTCAAGGACAACCCGGGGATCAAAGGCCACACAAAGTGTCGCGGTTACAGGCGGGAGCCATTGTGCCTGGCCAGTGGGTGCATCCTGGAAGAAGACAATGAAACAGTTCTAGTTACACAGTTTAGGAGGCTCCAAAGACATCTAGGTGGGGCTTAAAGAGCCATCTGAGGACCTGCGACACAAGATGACACCGTCACATGGCTGACAACTCGAAGCATGTGAGACTCTAATTCTGAGAAGATTCAGGAACTACACTCATGCGTTGCTTCACCGTGGGGATACGTCCTGAGAAACATGTCATAAGGCGAGGTCGCCATTGTGTGAACATCACAGTTGCTTACACAAGCCAGACGTCTCGCCTACTCCACACCAAGGCTGTGTGCTCTAGCCTGTTGCTCCTGGGCCACAAACCTGTGCAGTGTGTGACTGGCTGAACACTGTCGGCAGCTGTAACACAACGGCAAGTGTTTGGGTATCGGACATAGAAAACGTGCAGTAAAGATATGGTATAAAAGTTACAAACTGGTCCAGCTGGAGAGACACTTGCCACAAATGGAGCCCGCAGGACTGGACGCTGCTCTGGTGAGTCGGTGACGGGTGAGTGTGAGGCCTTGGACATGAGTGTCACCACTGTATGCATCACAACATTGCATGTAGAGATGACTCTACATTCATTAGGAACGTTTTCTTCATTCAATAATAAACTAACCTTGGCCTGCTGTCCATGTACTTGCCACGTACAGCATGATGCTTGGAAGTAGACACACATGATGGGTTGACTATGGCTGATTAGTACAGGCATCGCTTCACAGTTATTTGTGGTAAGAACGCTTACACAGCCCTTTTAGTATTTTTCAAGAATACAACATACTGTTATTAACCAGTCACCACGCTGCATGATAGAGTTTTTGAATTCATTCCTTCTGTCTAACTGACCCACACAGCCCTCTCCCCGCCCCCTGACAACCACTATTTATTTATTTAACTTAAAAAAAAGTTTTGAGTTGTAGTCTCACTCTGTCACCCAGGCTGGAGTGTAGTGGCACGCACGCTCATGGCTACCACAGCCTTGACCTGCTGGGTTCAAGCGATGCTTCCGCCTCAGCCTTCCAAGTAGCTGGAACTATAGGCATGCACCACCACACCCAGCTAACTCTTTGATTTATTGTGGAGACGAGGTCTCGCCATGTTGCCCAGACTGGTCTCAAGCCCCTGGGTTCAGGCAATCCTCTTGTCTCCACCTGCCAAAGTGCTGGGATTATAGGCGTGAGCCACTGCACCCACCTGGCAGCTACCATTTAACAGAGTGGGTTTAATGGGTGATTCAACAAAGGCTGTATCATTCAACTTTGTAGAAATGAGTCTGAATTCCATGTAACTACATTTTCTGCCTGCACACAGGGTGAGCCAATAAGGGAACACATTCTGGCCAACGTTCTGCAAGCCATCTAGCATTTATGAGGGTTCCTTGGAGAATGTCTATAAACACACACGCACACACAATCACACACGCAGGAGTAGACCTGATATTAACAAAATCACCTCTTAGCACAGAAAGACAGGGCAATCAAGTCAACCTTTATTGTCCGTAGAAAAGGAGCTTTCCAGGATGGTGGTGAACTTCACCTTCAGCTCCGTCCTGAAGCGCTGATACCACTGCAGCAGCGTCTTCCTCCTCTCGATCTTCTCAGGCAGAGGCATTGCCTTCTCTCTTTCCAAGACAGCAGGGAGCTCCTTCCAGTCCTTGACGAAGATGAAGGGGGCGCCCGTGGCCTTGAGTAGCTGCAGGGGGGCGCTGGGGTGCGCTGACGTGTGGCCGCAGTGGCCGGCCGTCATGGCGTCCTCCACCACGGGCAGGGAGCCATAGGAGCAGGCCTCGTAGATGCGGTAACACTCAGTGTTCAGGCCGGCTGGGCACAGCGTGAGGTCGCTCTGCAGCAGCGCGTCCTGGTAGTTCTTCAGACTCTCGGTGGTCTCCTGAGGTTGCCACCTAGACAGTCAGAAGACAACTCTGGTTTGCATTTCACCAAGTGCGCATCTCGTGAAATAGTTTATCTTTCCCAAAATCAGTCTCAGGAAAGGATGAATACGTTATAGAGATGACAGGCACAGAGATACCCAAAATCATGACCCAAGTAGAGTTCTTTAGAATATTTAAGAATTGGAACATTCTACAGCTGCACACAAGATACATGATTTCAAATATACTGCCTTCTCTCCACTGAACACTTGTTTCCTGACAACTATGAACAAAGTAGAGAAAGTTAACACTATTAAGTCGATCCTTCCATCCATTCATCTATCCATCCCTTCATCTGTCCATCTATCTTTCCAGTCCATTATCCATCCATCCATCCATCAATCCATCATCCATTCACTTATCCATCTATCATCTGTCCATCTATCCATCAACCCATAGTCCATCTATCCAACCCATCCATCATCCATTTGCCCATCATCCATCCATCCATCCATCCATCCACCATCCAGCCACCCATCGATCTACTCATCCACTATCTATCTGCCCATCCATCTCTCTGTCCATCGGTACGTCCATGCATCTATCCATTTATTCATCCATCCATCATCCATCCATCCATCCATCCATCCAGCCAGCCATCCACCTGTCCATCATCCACTCATTCATCACCCATCTGTCTGTCCATCCATCCATCCACCCATCCATGCATGCATCCATCCATCCACGTACTTACTCGTGCAAAGGCCTATGCTAGATTTGGGGATTCAAAGAAGAAGAGCAGACAGCACCTGTCTGCAGGACAGGTCAGGTTCCTCAACATGTGAGGAGTGCTCAGGCCAGTCCTGAACACTGGGCTGGTCTGCTGACCATCTCAGGGACAGACCCAAGACCCTACTGGCACTTACAGTCTCTACTGGACTAACTGGTACTACTGAGGAAATCCAACAACGGATACTTGCGAATGACAGTTCCCAAGGTTCCTCCCCAACATGGACTGCAGCCAAGGAGTCCTCCCTAGCTTACATGCATACAGCCCAGTCCCTCCATGGCTGTAACTGCCAACCTATCGTCTGGGGAAAGCCTGGTTAGAGATGACGTTACCAAGGACTCTCTGGAAACCTTCTGTGTTGCCCTGTAAAGCACCCCTCAGGCAGGAGAACACGATGGATGGATGGAATGAGCACAGAACTTACTGTTCCCTTGTTGCAACCCAACAAAGCTTATCGTTTCCATCTTGTTTCAAAATGTTCATCAGCGCCTGTCTGGAGGAATTTTCATACACAGTTCCTAAGAAATTACATAAATATGGCCTCTCATCGTGCAGCATGGACCAGCTTGCCTCCACCACGGGAAAGTTCCTGTAGCTGTAAAAACAGGATCTATGAGTTAATATACAACATGGAATTGGCAAAATGCTCACAGCCCACCTCTCAGGTGGACAGAAGAGACTGAGAATATGGTTTCCCAATCACAAATTATAATTCTCCATGCTTACTTTGGGAAAGTCCCTAAATCTACTGACTTAAACAAGCATCTCACGTTGTCATCTCTTACAAAATGATCACAGGCATCAGGTGCTGGAAGGTCTTTGCTTCTGACCTTCCTAAACTTTTATGTGTTGAGTTCAAGACCTTCAGAGTATCAAGACTCTTCTCCATTCATGGTGATCATGACCAACTAAGGTTTAGACAGGCAGTGAAGAGACTACAGAATGCTCTGGGAAGGCAGGGGGTGGGGAAATGGGCATGTTGGTCCCAGGGAACACAGCTTCAGCTGGACAGAGGAGCACGCCATAGGGACTGATCACACAGGGTGCTGACTCTAATACATAGCCATGCACTATACTTCAAAATTGCTAAATGGGTAGATTTTAAATGTTTTCACCACAAAAAAGTAAGTATGTGAGGTGATGAATTTGTTAATCCTGATTTAATCCTTCTATATTGTAAACACATGTCAAAAAAATCACACTGTATATGGCATAAACATATAATTATTTGTCAACTAAAAAGAAAAATTATAGAATATAGCTATAGCAAGGGCTCGGAAAAATGAATCCCAAGGGCTTTTAAGTTTACTGCAACAAACAAATCAGCAAAGAAACCTTCTCTGTCACACAGGACAGGCCTGCTGCAAGTGGCCTAATTTTTTTTTTTTTTTTGAGTTGGAGTCTCATTCTGTCGCCCATGCTAGAGTGCACTCACTGTGTCACTCAGGCTGGAGTGCAGAGCGACACTCACGGCCACCACCTCCTCCCTCTGCTGGTCTCAGGCCATCTTTCTACCTCCACCTTCCAAATAACTGGAACCACTTACTTGTGCCCTCATACCCAGATAATTTTTTTAAAAAATTTATTGTAGAGATGAGGTCTCACCAAGTTGCTCAGGCTGGTCTCAACCCCCTGGGCTCAGGCAATTCTCTCACCTCTGCCTCCCAAAATGCTGGGATTTGTGAGCTACCAAGCCAACACTGACATTTTAATAAAGTTCAGGCCAATCATTTTATACAATAGCCCTTATTTGTAGTTTTCTGATGATAAGATTCAGCCTATGCATTTTTAGCAGTGACACCATATAAGTTGTTCTTCTCAAGGCATTGCATTAGAGGCACAAGGAATCGGTTGGTGGCGTTACTGGTGATGTTAACTTTGATCAATTGGTTAAAGTGTTGTTGGCCAGTTTCTTCTCTGGAAAGTTACTATTTTTGCCTTTGTAATTGTTAAGTAGTTGGTAGGAGGTACTTTGAGGCTATGCAAATATC